AAAGAAGGGAGATATAGATGAATATGCGCACCTCATGTGGTCCCGGTGTCTAGGCCTCGCCTGGCTGGGGCTGCAGGTTTTTTGAGACTTTTTCCCGCGCACGCAGTTTCCATTGCTACCATTTTTATTTTTTTTGGGTAGAAGGTTCCGTGGAAAAGGTGGCTGAATTCCACGGGTAAATACTGAGCTGAATGGCTATTCATCAAGGGGAATATATCAATGATCTTTCAAGTAACAAAAGAGGATAGGAGCACTGTACAAGGTGTGGCCTGGGTCAGAGAGGAGCCCAATGTGCTAGATAGTCATAGACTCAAGTAGTACAATAAAACACACACACACACACCACTATGAGGTATGTTCGCTTACACAAACAGTCGACCCTCCCCCGTAAGTACCCACCAAAGGGAATTTCAAAACCTTTGGTTATCCAAGCATGCCTTCGTCATCCATGCATACCAGCGCCGCGAGAAATGTGGTTGTGTTTTACTGGATTTGAACCAGCGATCTACTGTCTCGAGTGGGATATGTGTCCAAGCTATCCAGACTCTACTTGGCAGACCGGCCAAGACGATGTACCACCGCACCTTCCATCGTTGGCTTGTGTTTGTAGTATCGGCTGCACTCTCGCAAGCGGAGTCTTGGCGCGCACAAAGCCTAATTCGTAAAACTCCTTGCCAAAATTCGGAATCTCACGCCCTTCGAAGTTATTTCTTTCCCTCGCATCATCTTGTTAACCTGTCCTGAATCCTCTCACGCCATTACCAAAGAACTGTCTCCCAGATTTGTGCGCCACGCTTTGTGTCCTCCGTCGGGTATAAATATCGGCGTGGGCGTGTATTTGGTGACCGGCTGAGGCCAGAGAAAGTCGATGAGAGGTGTGATCATTGGAATAAGGATGTACTAGGTCGTACTTGTAGACTTGATGAGGCTCGGGTAGAATTCGATCTCTTTAGGAGTGAAAATTTGACGTGGAAGCCAATCCATCAAAGTGGAAATCTTGTGACTCTGTATTATCACGGCTGATGAGCACTCTATGCGCTCTGAACACTCGGAAGGAAACTTTTAAACACCTCCTTTCCAGATCAGCTATAAATCCGCGGTGGAATCGTCATCCGACAACCAAGATTCAGTCCCACCCCATGTTTAGCTTGGAAAATCTCCCGTTGATTTGTTAATCAAGAGAAGGTATGTCTGTTCTTCTCTAACGAAGCCTCGCGCTGTAAAAATTTGAAAGCAAAAGAAATTGACTGGAAGCAGTAGATCCTACAATCAACAATAGAAGGTAATCGGGCCTACGGAGCATCTTGACCACCTTTTGATACTTCTTGAGGTTACCGGTTTTTACATATTATACAAACCCATGGATTGAATAGAACTGGCAACTCTCTTTCCTGTCGCAGCCATTAATAAAATGGTAATTTGTTGGGAATAAGATAGAGGCATGTGATTATAATGGGGTGGATGAAATGAGAATTGTTAACTAGGCAATAGCGAGTAAGGGTTTATGGAGGCAAGTGTACACTCAGTATATCTCTGGACAATAGCTGTCACCCAGAAACCTTCTGATAGATAGATACAAAAACACATTCTACTGATTGCCTTTACCTTCGGATTCGAATCCAAGAACCTGATAGTTTTAACCAACATTTCCAATCATGTGATCACCAAAAATCATATTGTCGAGACCACGGAAACTTGAGATCAAGAAGACGAAATATATCTTCGTGGGAAAATCACATCAAGATCTTCTTTGCATAACTAGGAATCGATTTAAATGTGGTAGACAAAGCCAGCCGTATGGGATGCAATAGACGTTTGACCGTGTAGGATGAGGATGCGTTTAAAATGGATGGATACTGTCTGTTACGGTTTGACCGTGGTTTGGCTTAGGTGGAGACCTAAGCGGAGTTTGGGGGCGTATTAGGGAGAGTGTTACATATTATCTTGTATCAAGCGACTAAGTTTCACTTGGCCACATTACATTGGAGCCAGGAAGGAATGTGAGACGGCGAAGTAGAATTGCCAAGTGAGAGAGTCAGCTAGATGGCAAAGATGACGACGGGCAGTGGCGGAGCAATATGTCATTCTCACCAACAGAGTACGTACTGGATGAGCTAGAAGGATGTACAAATAGTCATTGCCCGTAGTTGTGGTACTTCTCTCTTCATATAGTTTAATCTTTCTAAAAGTACACTACAACCAGCTTGGTTTCGTCACACTGTCTAGGTGAATAACACCACATGGAGCGTCGTCTTCATTTTTGTTCTCCTCTGGGCGCAGTAGGTGGGATGTTTGCACAACCATTAGATTAAACACACTTGGATGGAGGGTCTGAGCTCTAACGTTCGGTGTCGAGTGTTTTGCTTTGTTCATTAACGTGCTAGGTATAGTGATTCCCGTTGTACTCCTACTCGAGCTTAAGCACGGGTGGGACCGGGCCGGATCAGGTTAACTACAGTAAAGTACAAGTGCCTCGTCCCACCTCAGACTTCACCCATGTGTTGAATCATGTCAAGCCCAGCCGTCCAGAGAACCCTCTTTTGACGCGCCCAAACGCATATTCCTCCTCAGGCTCGGCCACCACGTGCCCGAGCCCTTGACATCCTCATTAACTCCGAAATAAAAATGCCGTCAAAGATTTCATCGTTGCTCTAGCCTTCCACCTTCATATCGTACCGTCGGGTTGTTGTCGTCATTGGGGATTTGTGTAATCCCCTGGGTGTATCTTCCCTTTTCTTCCTCCTTTGTACACGTCCCGTTCGCATCATGACTTTCCTCGTTAGGGCGTGCGTAGGTAGGTGATGTGACGAGTATAGAGGTGTGTCGCAGGTGTAAGATCGGCTAATATATGGATCGTCGCAAATATATAAGGAGTTTGAGAGTTGTCAGATGTTTGAATACGACTCCCAGACAGACCTAGGCCCAATTATGAATCGCATGTTGGTGGTGATGAGTTTTTAATCGACTTTGTTCCGGCTGTGAAATCTCTGCCGACTGATTTTTCGACCAAAATATCGAGTGCAACTCCTTCAAGTCCAAAATCCTTCAAATTAAATTCATCCCACCCTTTTTCGTGACTGAATCTCGGCTCTGGGAGAATATTTCACTCCCAGGTTCGTAGAGGCGCCAACGACAGGTTTTCAGCCTTAATACTCCTGGTGTCGAGTGTCATTACGACGCTGAATAAAATTAAATTAACTAACCGAGTAATGGACTTGTCAGGATAAATTCCATAGGACCCCTGTTCTCTATGTGTGCAGAGCAGTAACATACTATTACAGTAATCGTCAATCTTGGGCGATCAGTCTACTCAAGGTTCTTACTACAAAAGCTTAGAGGCTGTAGCGTACTTCAAGTTGCAGTTGTGCTCCGAAGGATATGGTGGGAGGCGACTGATCTAGTTGCATGTAAATTCACGCAATGTCGGGCAATCCATTGATGATTGACAAATTGTCTTGTGTTATAGCGTGGAGATGAATTAGTCCGCCATCTGCTTCTGTGCCTATGCGTGGACACTGGCCTATTCCTTGAGCAACAACGAGCTGCATCATATACATTAAAGTTCTGGAGAACAAGTCATGAATTCCACCTAACTGAATGAGGCGAACCTCCGTGGGCGTACAAGCAGTCACACCCAGATGCTGGAATTCACTGCAGCCGCGTTAGGTACAAGGGAAAGCGCCGGATTATCAAATCAGGTACGTCGGGCTTGATTCGGATATGCGTGAGCACTATCTGTCCCTCGGCACAAGGCTTCATCAAGACTACTCGCTGATACCATCTCGAGTACGCGTGATAAAGCATGTACTGCTATTCCACTCATCTCTGACATCCCGCCGCACTCACTCTAGTCGCGTTTGAAGAGCCATTAAATCTCTGAGCGAGACGCCACGGTTGCTGTGGAAAAGGGCGTGCAGTCACGGACGAGACCAAACGATGTCGAGCGCGAACTCGTGGTCCTGCTAGCCACCTTAAGAGAGGAAAGTGACAGTTTCAGAATGCTTACTTCTCACTCAGTGTTATATGGAACATGTGTATATACGTGGCATGTCTCAAACCATGGTACAGGAGCTCGAACTTGCGTCTAATAGACAATGCACTTCGGTAACGCATATCATAGCTACACAAGCATTGCGCTAAATGCTCATTATCGTTCGCCAAAGTGGTGACTAAGATCTTCCATCGAAAGTTTATTAAATATTAGAGAATCATAATGTATGTACGGCTAGAAGACTCATTGCGTTATTCTTTATCCTTGGCCCGGACCGGCCCACTAGTCTGTTCTCTAGAATTAGAAGCTGCTGTATTCCACCAAGCCCTTATTATCCGAAATTTTGAGTCTCTCACAGCTGACGTGTGAGAGACAGAAGCAGTTGAGCACTGGCAGGGTTAGCGTATCTCACATTGGGAAGTGTGATCACGTAAGGTGCCATTGATGATGGGCAATGATACTCTTTATTACAGTACGTAAAGTCACTGGACGAGGGGCGCTTATGCTTCGCATTAAATAATGTTTGTGTTACGTGCGGAGCAAACGAATGGCACCAGGAGTCTCAAGAGCAAGGCAATGACAGCATCTATTACTTTGGTACACAAGTATTTACAAAGCAGCTCTCGGTTCTACGACCCAAGAGTTGAATCTATGGTACATATTTTTGCATCTGTCAGCACCAAATGGTCCATATCAATACTAGCTTGGCCAAATTGTATCAGCAGGCAAAATTTTACAAGTACGCCACGGCCAAATCTCGTTTAAAGCCGTTGCTAACGGTACGTACTAACCCATGCAATCATACCTGCGTACGATAGATACTTCATCATACGACCAAAATAATTTTGCGTTCACGGTAATTAGTTAGAGGTGATAAGGGTCGATCAGTTGCCAATAGTTTTCTCGGAATGGTAGCTTTTCAGTGGCCAAATGTGTTACGATTTGGTTTACAGTTGTTTCATTCGATCAAACAGGTGTTAGAGTGCCGATTATACGTTTCCGAGGGCGTCTAGAATGGGATCTGGGCCGCAGTTGTCCCCCCGTTCATCTCCTGCTGCTCTTGGAGCTCTTCGCCTCCCGCTTCAAATGAAACAGCCATGCCAAGCTTGACTTGTTGCTATCAAGACATTAGTACGAACCTAAATCACACGGTTCTACTGCATACCTTAAAGTGGTCCATGTCTGCGGAGAAGGTTAACATTACTGGCTGAGCTATGCGCTTTTCTAGCAAACACCCTAGCTTGCCAGTTGAGTCTACCTGGGCTCTGAACGTAGACATCCTAAAATCATACTTGGCTCCAATAGTGGTCAATCCCTCTTTCCGAGAGCTGCCCATGAAGTTGTTACTTGGTGCATTATCAAGCCGTACGCTACAGTCTGCACCTACCTCCACTTTTTCCGATAGTTTCCTCCAGTATGACGTACTAATTGCACCACCCCCAGCCAGTTGACCGCTAAGAATCCAACCGTTTCCTTTGTATTTTGCACAGTAAGACACTGTAGAGTCTGGTCCTTGGTTCAGAGCAGCACGTTGCCACATTGCTTCTAGACCGACTGCAAGGTTAGGTGTTACAGCCTGAAGATAGCTTCCGATGTATATGCCCGTAAGTCCTCCATCGATTATTGATGGGTTTAAGGATTTCAATGAAGCAGTGAAATCATTTCCAGTATATTCGTGATCAAATTGTGCCATGGCCTGATTCCCAGGGGCGATTTGAATCTGAGTTTTTGAGACGAGCGAGGGTGTCCACCGGTAGTTGAACCTGGTTGATAGATTTCCGTCGTTATCTACATTTCCCTGTAAGAATACCTAGGGCGATTGTTAGCCTATTTTGAATCTGGGCTGCCACAAAACCGTGGAACATCCATTGACAGGACTCTTTTATGACTGACTTTGTTCGTACCGAAAAGCGCGGCAAGTGTATATGGTGGTAGGCTCTGTGAACTGATGGAAAATGAATGCGAGACCTGGAATAATGGTGATATGCTGAAGGCTTTTGTGAGATCCGCTCTCAGGCCAGAAAATGTGTAATTATTAAGCAACACATCACGCTGTACTTCTCGAGAAATATTCTCGACGCATCCTGGGTTTGAGAGGCCTAATTGTGTTCTTCTCTCTGCAAATGAATTGTATGTGTCCACAAGCACCCTTGATAAGGCGTTGTTGCGAAATAAGCCTAAAGGCGAGTCCTCCAGGTTGTACGAAGGCATATTTCCTGATCAACAAGACGGATATATTGTGACGACTGTAAAAACAAACTTTACAAAAGCGACGTTATCACCTGCAGTAGTTTTGATGGGTTAGATAATTTTGAGCGTTTGGGCAGATAGTCACCCTGCGGAACATAATTTTTTTCTACTTAACCCAGCCACTCAGTCCAGCTAGAACACAAGTTAGTTATGTCACGGGGACCTGACCAGCGTCGACTTCTTGCAGGGCATGGAATGTTACAGCTCTCATTGGTTGAATTGACGAACATACAGGTATCAGCTAGCTATACCTAAGTCGTCATCATATACAAGCGTTAAGCCAGCTAGTAATTTCTAAGAAGTCTCCTGCGATCTTCCTAGCCAATATACCTCTTTGTACCAAGCTACCATGCCTTATCAGGTACTTGTTGATATCTATTCCTTACCCGTCAGTAGCCCTATGACTTATATAGATGACAAGATATAACATTGGTATATCCGAGGCTAATTGTGTTTGGTGCAGGGGCCCTGGAGGAACACTGAAGCAGTAACCGTCCCAAGGCTTATTTAGAGATCCAGCTGTTTCCGTTGAGAAGCTCCGAACTGACATCCACTGTTTTTCCTACCGAGTCGTTTCATTTTTTTTGCAGGAGCAACCTGCGTGACTTTTGTTCTTAACAAATTCATATCCAAAGTCTGAATCTAGTCCCTCGAACTTCTCTACATACCCTGATTCCAACCACTGCAGGTCACCTACTGAACCATCATCATGAATACGCTTATGTGAGTTCATTTATACTAGAGAAGTTTATGCTTCCTCACCTACGTTTCTTAATGTTCAAAATCCTCCGACCCTGCATTAAGGCAGCCGATAATCCTGTTTTCCATTTGTTGCGTACATATTGCACTGATTTTTCTGCACAACTGGTGGCGATGATTACAAGTAAAGAATTCCGGAATTTCGAAGTTGATATCTAAGTTCATAGCTTTTTTGTAATTTCTTCTGTAGCTCATTTACACAATAAGCAGGAGATTTCCTACCAAACTTTGACCATGAACGTAATCATGGGATAGCACTTTCTTCACAAATGAGCTGTGAACTCCCAGAAACACAGAGTCAGTTGGGCTATACAAGAATCACTTCGAGCAAAACGCGATTAATCCATGTTTGCATATTCTCATCTAACATTGTCCTTAGAACCCCGAATCTCACAGCTAGCTCTCCAAGCTACCGCCGGAGATCATCAATCTTTATTGACGGCATTCATGATGTGAAAGATGACAATGCTTCGATGATGGCACCCGCTCAGCTATATAGTACTATGTCTGGTCGTTTATTTCACTGTGGTCGAATTGCTATTGTCCTTGTAGGTTTGCCAGCTCGGGGAAAAACGTAAGTCATATCCGACCTATTGATATCTATCTGACGAAAGTCTTACACGGAAAATACAGGCACATTTCTGTCTCGTTATCAAGATATCTCCAATGGTAAGAGAGATTTCCCCATTCTTCTAGCGCAAGCACGAACATATTACAGGTTGGGGGTCAAGACTCGGGTTTTCCATCTCGGCGATTATCGGCGAGCAACTCTAGGAGAGAATCAGGACGTGCCTGAAGATTACTTTTACATCGATCCCTCACCCAGCTCGTTGAATCTCCGCGACAAAATTGTGAAGAAGTGCCGGGAAGATCTTTACACCTGGCTGAACAACGAGAATGGTCAGGTTGCAATATACGATGCAGTCAATCCTCACTCTGAAGGAAGAAGATCTCTAGCTTTAGAATTTGCTAAAAACGAAGTTCAGGTTCGGCACACTCAAAGCTTCTCATCAGGCAATGCTAACTCGGGTCTAGACAATTTTCATCGAATCATATGTGACGGATCGGAGTATTCTAGCAGAGAATGCTCGCAGTGTCAAGATTAACTCCCCAGATGTAAATTTTAAGTCAAACATTAATGATTGGACGCTGATTCATATAGTTTAAAGGAATGAACGCGGATGAAGCTGCCCAACTTTACCTGAGAAGAATCGATATGAAAATACCCCATTTCCAGACGATGAATGAAAAGGATCTCAACTATATTAAAATGATAAATGCTGGTCAGAGTATTCAGTACAATAACGTGAGCTTTGGTTACTTATCCTACCGCATCGTATTTTACCTCATGAACCTTCATATTAAGTCCCGCGCAATATATTTTGCTCGTGCTGGTCCTTCAGATGATGAGAATTCTTACAAGTCAGATGATTCTCTGGGAGATGATGGCGTGTATTATTCTCAAAAAATGACGAACACATTATTAGCATACATCAAAAATCAGAACGCCCAAGATTCCAAAGCCGAAAACTCCACAGAGAAGCTCCTCACTGTCTGGACATCTGACAGCAAAAACTCATATGAAACTGCTATTCCGCTTGAAGAGGAGGGCTTCAAAGTCAGACAGCGGTCTCAATTAAGCCAGATCAACCCAGGGGTCTGCGAAAATTTAAACGAAAGCTCTATCCGCAAACTGTATCCGGACGAAATTGAAAAGCATGAGGCCGACCCCTACCATCATAGATATCCAAGGGCCGAGGTATGCATTTGTTACCCATGAGACAAACTAAACTTATTAAAAACCAATAGAGCTATCATGACCTCGCCGTTCGTTTAGAACCAATTATTCTCGAGCTTGAACGCGAAGAGAACGATCTCCTTATTATAGCACATGAGTCTGTCCTCCGTGTTCTGTACGGTTACCTAATGGCGTGCGATGCAATGCTTATTCCAGCACTTTATTTTCCTCGCGATCAAATAATCGAGGTTTGCTGCCCTCAACCTCTGCTTTAATCAAATTTTCTAACTCTAAAAGATTGTTCCTTCATCTTATCAAAATGAGGCTCGAATAATTAAGATTCCTGATCTCAAATCTAATGACACATCTAATGAAATTATCCCTGCCCCGATACCCATCATTCTCTGTCCTGCTGGAAATGATTCACCAACGGAACTTTCGAACCAAAGTATAAATTTCCATACCGAAGAGCACCCATTATCGTTGGATTAAATTAAAAATCAGATTTGGTAACTTGTTGTGAGTTTAGGGTCAACTTCGTTGTTTTGGGCGCGGCGGTGCTTACACTGAGTGGGGCTAAGTTGGGTTTAACGAATGCATGATCACGAGTTTCTTTACCTCTCTAATTAGTTTATATTAGCGAAGCGATCATTTTGTATCAGCATACTGTGACGCCACTAATGTTTATTTCCATTGTTCTAATGAGTTTATCGCTGTAATTAATCATATAGATCCTAACTGCATACAAGCTGGGCTTACCTATGCCTTAAACACTGCTTCTGTCCAGTAATAATAACCCCGTAGGCTCTCATTGGAATACAAGTTTAGAGCCATTAACCCACCATTATCATACCCGTCTAGAAAACTTAACGGTGACTATTTGCGGGTGTGAGGCTGCACAAAAGAATTCCATCAGAAATAGTGTATGGGACTACTCCTACTAACATCAGAGCTAATTGACAAGCACTAAACCATGTCACCATTTTATTGCATACAGAAGGTAATATAACTTGTGTTGGTTTTGGTACATGATCTTCAACCAGCGCGATGATGCAGATGATGATCTACACGTCAATGGCTACTTAATGCAATAATTTATATTTGTTTGATTCACGTCGTCCTTCCACATGCATCGTCCTCCATTCCCCGTTGTAACGACAAGTTGAAAGTAGACCAAACATTTTTGACTATCCTGAAATAGATTTTACACAACTTTCCCCCTAAAAATGATGCAAAATATGTAACCATGTCATCATATATTGGATCAAACAATCTCCTATGTTACGTATGTCGGTGGACGGGTGCGGAACGCCTAACAGGTGGGGGCCTGTTCTCAGCACGTGTCAATGGTGTCCCATATGACCATCCGATGAGTTTCCGGAGCGTACCCAGCACCGGATACAGCGATGGCGCACTTGATCAAGATGGCTTCGAATGTTAAAGATAAGTGAGATATAGATTAGTATGCGCACCTCAGGTGGTCCCGGTGTCTAGGCCTCGCCTGGCTGGGGCAGAAGGTTCTTTCGGGACTTTTTTCCGCGCACGCAGTTTCCATTGCTACCATTTTCATTTTTTGAGTAGAAGATTCCGTAGAAAAGGTGGCTGAATTCCACGGGTAAACACTGAGCTGAATGGCTATTCATCAAGTGGAATATATCAATGATCTTTTAAGGAACAAAAGAGGATAGGAGCACTGTACAAGGAATGGCCTGGGTCAGAGAGGAGCCCAATGTGCTAGATAGTCATAGACTCAAGTAGTACAATAAAAAACACAAACAAACTAGCTTTGGTAATACGCCTGCTCATTGCAGAGCCAGGAATGACCATATCGATTCCAAAAGTAAGAAGTTCAATATAAACAAATTTTCACTATCCTCTTGGTACCTGATTGCGAATTAATATCTGTTATCTATATTTAAAACTAAATTTTGCTCGGTTGGATGTGCGATATTTATCCAAGGAATCAAGTTTCCAGGGCTTCAAAATACGCCAATTCTCCTCTTTCGACAAGCGTCCACCCTAAGTTAGGCTTCACCTCGTAGTCACGAACAACTCAACGAAATTTCTCTTCCATGGCCACATTTCTTTGAAACAAACTTTTGGAGGAGTGAATAATCTAAGGAACATTTAGTGAAAGAAGCATAGATAAGTACGACTAATCAGAGGATGAATGCAGCTGGGAAAAAGCAGAATGTTGATTATGATACTGAAGCTACCTCAGATGAGGAACATCGTCCATGCCAAAAGGTTACTTGCCAGAACGCATGAACTACCTTTAATTGAAGGAGATTGAGATCCAGAAAACTGTGAGCATTGCCGAACTAGTACCAGTTAAAGCATCGTTCGAATCAGACTAATACAGTGCGGACTCGTTATAACAATATAGTTCTACGAGGCTTTTTTTATCGTTTAAACATTGAAGTGGCCAACGTGAGCACGTGATACTATGTAGAAACATATTTAATTACTTGGTCCACATAATGTTATCTTCAAGCTTCCTTGCACACCAAACATGATATCGTGCGATCTCGTATGTTATTTCAACCAGCTATTTGATGTACCTTGACTTCTGTTGAGCTCTGCCTGCTGCTGGAGGCTTCTTTACATGCGCATGAGTATCGTGAGCTCCATGGAGTTGGCATCTGGCTCATGCTCCTGGAAACTGAGCAGGCGCTTGAGGCTATGTAGTGCTTTATTAATCGTAGCAGGCGGCTCAGCTGCCTCTTCATCCTCGTCCTCCTCCTGCTGTGGCATAGTAAGTGCAGCAACGATATTCGTAAACGTGGCCTCCTCCTCCTCCACCTCAATATTCTCGTCGTCGTGTCTTTATACTAAGTCGCCATTTAAGAATGGGGTTGAATGAGGGGGATCCAGACCTCAACAGGCCTAATGAGTCGTGTTGGGAACTAGATTGCGTTCTTGGAGTTAAATAAGGATAGGGTTGGATGATGCTGTGGTACACATTTCGGGCCTTTCTCCCAAGGATATTTTGGGTAGCTTGAACACCTACCCCACTTAAGACAGGAGCTTGATTGATTGACCTGAATTGAAGTCTCTACTGATTCCTACACTATGAAAGACTTTTTAAAGATCTACCTAAATAGCTCTTTAATTAATAGGGTAATTTTAAATTTGAATATTACAAGTAGATGCCTGTTGATCCTGAGGATCATGACCTATGTGACAGGAGAAAGCTGGTTCGAATCCAGTAAAACTCCCACACTACTCTTTTTCGCGGTGATACCGTACTTGTGAGGTGATAAAAGCTCACTCGGATAGCTACAGGTTTTCACGCTTTTCCCTGTGGTGAGTATGCAAGGAATGGGTTACACGCCGTCAGGTTTAACTTCGAGTGGAATCTGCAAATGAAATCTGAGTGTGAGTGTTCTAAACCTCAGATTAAGTCATCCTTCTTAAAGTACATATCTTCTGATAAATCCTGCATGGGCCTCATGGCGCCAAATCAGGATAAAGAATAAGTTATTTATTTTATACTTGGAATCATAGATTAATGCCCTGATTATGAGGCACTTACCTCATTATAGCCAGGCTTCCGCCAATGACAGTGGCTACATCATGTGACAGTTATTCGATATAACGATAAAAGGCGACGGCGACATCAGTATATTGAATATCGTTGACTTGTTATATTTACCATGAGAACGTAATCCGTATGCGAAGAATCTATCGTTGTGAGGCTAATATCGAATATCGAAAACCGTTATAACGAGTCTACACTGTAGTTGGGCGGGTTATCGCTCCGGCTCAAGGTGAATTCCCACTCCTGATCGCGAAAGGGACATGGATTTGAGATCCACTCTTTCCGCTGAGGCCTAAAATTCCCGCAAAAACCTCATATGGGAATGAAGACTATACGCAGGTCCACGGTATCATCCACCGGCCTAGCTTGAAATGTTCCCAGCGCCGAGTTGAGAAAAATTTTGCATTCTTGAAGAAACGGCCCAACGAGATAATGATCCCAGAATCCCATCTTCATCTTTCTTTTTGAATTACTTGAAGTTTATTCAGATAACTAGCTATGACACATTGTAAGAACCATGTATATATGTTGGATGACTCTATTGACGTTAGAGGTATTCATACTATAGATTTCATTTGTAAATACCACTATAAGTTATGTTTGCTTACACAAACAGTCGACCCTCCTCCATAAGTACCAGCCGAAGAGATTTTCAAAACCATTGATTATCCAAGCATGCCTTCGTCATCCATGTAAACGTGCATTGCGAGAAATTTAGTAGTGTTTTGCCGGATTCGAACCAGTGATCTGCTGTCTCGAGTAGAAGATGTGTCCAAGCTATCCATAATCTTCTTAAAAGATCGATAAGACGATCTACCACTGCACCATCCAGCCATAATTGTGTTTATAGTGTCGCCTGCACACTCGCAACCGAAGCCCTGGCACACATAAAGCTCATTTTGTAAAAACCCCTTAATAAAGCTCGAAATTTCACGCCCGTCAAGTCTGTACCCATCCTCTGTATCATCTTGTAAACTTATCCTGATTTCACTCACGTCCATCCCAAAAAGCTGCCCCCAAAATTTTGGCGCCACGCTTTATTTTCTCCAGCGTGTGTAAATATCGGCGTGGGCATGTATTTGGCGGTCAGCTGAGGCCAGAGAAAGTCGACAGGAGGTGTGGACATTGGGATGAGGATGTACTAAGTCGTACTTGTAAACAATATTTTTTTATGGGCATATATTTCATTAGGATTGAAGGATGGATATAGTGGAATATCCTGAATTATTGCCTCTTGGGCCAAATTTTTTCACATAGCGAGTTCCATTGAACTTGGCTCTGGGATAATATTTGACTCTCAGGTTTGTGGAGGACATTACTTACAGATATTCTACCTTCGTCCTCCATAAGTTACCGAGTATCACATTCCCTAAAGGTAGAACTATTGGTGTGTTCATGTGGCTCTCATACTTTACCGCGACAAAATCGCGAAAAACACATCATGTAGGCTTTTAGGTCAAGATCCCTCTAAGTTGATGCGATGTAGCTTGTAGCTGTGTAATTCTGGGATTGGACTTCTTCCTCAAGTCCATTTTTTAGTCAACATGTCTTTCACTGCGTTTGCACTGATCAACTGATAAGTGACGTTTATGTTCACGTGTGGCAACACTCCATCGGTTTACATTTGATAATCTCCAGCATACAACGTAACCTCATGTAAGGCGAACTTTATTCATGACTACCTCTGAAATTGCATAATTTTCAAACGGTTGTATTCAAGATAGTCACTGGGATACCCGAGAGAGATCGCATCCGATTCGAAATCGAACGCAAACACATGCATATCTCCATATAACGACTTCTCAATCATGCAGCACTCACCATTCTCATCTGAGTCCTCAACCTCTTTCCAACCACGCACCATCTCGCCTCAGCGATCGATAAAGGTGTCACTCCAATTGCAAACAGGAGCTTGCCTCAATCATTACCGGCCATCACTCACTACAAATTTACGACGCTACGTATACCCGCAAGGAGTAAATTAAGTCATAATATACAAAGTTGGGGTCTAGGTTTATGGGGGATTGATGCTCTAATGGGGTTACACATCTTGAGGAAGGACAGGCGGCTGAGACGTAGAGCGATAGAGGGAATACGTCTCTTAAGACCATGCCGAGACTGATATCTTCGCGCGGTTTTCAACTTTGGAAAGTTTGTGGGTGCTAAGACCGAGATTTCGGCTAATTAGCTAGGAGGGCTTCTTTTGTCGATGAGTCAACGGCACTCCCCAGCGCCCTGGACGGCACAAAAGAAGTTAGGCTAAGCTACTATACAGCAATCACGCTCTGTCAAGACTTTTCTGACATTTCAGCACGACCTTCGGGAAGGAGTTGGAAGGAGGCTAGAAAGACAGAGAGTGAATTCTCCGAGGTACCCACAAGTCTGCAGCGCCCAGCTGGCCGGCCTCTTTGAACGCTTCGGAAGGGTCACTATGTCTTCGGATCTAGTCCTAATTTTGGTATTAGGAGAGCTCCGCACCCAGTGGTTTTTGCGATCTTTCCCGGCTGCCGTACACCCGCTAATGGCCATCGTTTCGTTGGCTGGAGAGGGGAGATAATGAAGGCCAAAGGGCTCTTCTAAGTGTATGATCGAATGAGGACTTGTGAGGGGTGGTAATGTTTGAGGGGAGCTGTATGGGAGGCATAGGAGGGAATATACTACTGGTATAGGTATCCTTGGCCTGTAGGCAGAGAGGACCTACATATTCTAAATGGCAATAGACTCATGAAGGACAATAAAATGAATTAATAATAATTCAATTTAGCCCCTATGTTTTCCTGATAACTTTCACGATGATTGGCACCCTAATAAAAGGTTAACACCAATAATGGTCATCAACTTCCGTCATAATTAATTGATTTTATCGGACCTTCATTTCCTACGTAGTCATAGAGTGAGAATGGACAATGAAATAATTATTAATAATTATTAATAATTTGATAGACCTAGAGGGGCATTGCCACACAAGTAAGAAGCGAGCACATTTTGCTCAATGCTTACTTATATAGAAGAAACGTGCCAGGAGTAGGAAAACCATGCTGCCAGTGTGGATATCTGTCCCAAAATATAAAGCACATGGTGATGTCTTGTCTAAGATGGGCAAAGGGAAGAGGTGAGCTGCTACAAAAATCAACAACTCGATCTTTCGAAGCTATGGTAAATAACGTCAAAGATGACTAGAGTTGTACAGTTGATTCAAAAGGAAGGATGGCTAGAGCAGTTTCGGATGACCGGGGAAATCGAGGCGTTCATCAGGCGAAGAGAGGAAAATGGAAACACAGGACATGGACGGAATCCACACTGGCAAAAACAGTGTGAGTGCATTTCCTAGATGTAAGACTATAATGGCGTAGAGTCCAATCAGACAGCTTAGGGGGATTTCACTGCGAGGTTTCATCCTGTGTAAACACTATAGTTCGCAGGCATCTGCATGGGCGCCAAATCGGGCTAAACGAAATCAAATTCAAAAATTATATATTGGATTCTAACGTACCATGAGGCTATCGTTTAAGGAAGGCTTTGTTGCATTGCAGTTATGTTATGACATACTTTATTATCGATATTTCTACAAGCAAGCCAAGGATAACTTTGCCATGGGTTGTTCATCTTTTTCCATGCCTTCTTTACAGTTCTCTTCTAACATAAGTATATCAAAAGACCCCTTTGATCATATTTAAAGGGTGGTCTTTTGCCCTTCATTATCTACATTCTTTCAGTTTTACTAAAGCTCCTCGCTAGATACTGATAGATGTTGAGCTCCCCTATTACTGAAATTAGAGCTAGACTCGAGGGCATAGTTACCATCTTCAAGCGTTTGAAGTGATATAGTAGCCAGGCACTTCAGACTTTTACGTACCTAGGGGGGTCACTCGCTACCTTTATATCGCCTGTTCAACTCCTTGTATGATTAGTGTCTCCAGATAAACTGAAGTTGGTGTTGAAATCCTAAAAAGTACTAGTAAGATATGGGCTACCGAGTAGCGTTACTTAACTTCTTTGTTTGATTTAGGGCAGTCGATGATTTCGGAGACCAATTGGCACTAGAAGTCCTCCTGGCTCAGATTGGACTCAATGTCAGCTCTTCATATTACAGTTAGAGAATGAGGATCTTAGAGAAAGCTGTAGACGGGTTTTGAGCCTTCGTCTCTCTCAGTTTAAGTCAAAGCTACATGATCTATGTTGCAATGATGATAACACCTGATCATCAACTTCACACAGGCAACTCGCTTAAATCGTTCTTGAGAAAGCTCTATTAAATGTAATTAGTTGGCCCAATCTTAGTGGAAAACGTGCCAGTGATTTCATTGTTACCTTCGTTCCGAATAAATTTTTTTTGTATCAGTATGACACCAAATCTGGAAGCTTACAACTACCTCCAGACTGTATTTGAGCATATCCCAGAATTTGATTCATATTTTTATTGTCATATTAGCCCGTAATTGTATTGGGAAATGTGGGCCTTTTCCACGTTCAGGCAAGGGGCATCTTTGCCTCGAGTTCAATGCTCCCTCCCGTGCATGATTCATGGGCTCTGTCCAGTGGTTATAACTACACTGGTCTTCATTTGAATAAATATCTGTGGGAGCCGTTTTGCCGTTATCAATTATCCCACTAACCAACCAAGCAGAGGACATTTACGGGTTGCATGTCACGGGAGCTGTTAAGACAGCGGATGAAACTTGACCTCTCACATTGACCGTGCACGACAAGGTATGAGAGTCTGTAAAGAACTCACAGAATATCCGAATTGTGTAATTGCTAGCTTCGGGCACAAATATGAGTTTATCTGCGTGGTACCGGAAAAACCAGATGGGAACAGGGAGCGAAAAGGGAATGTGAAGATGTATCCCAGTGACAGTGACTGTATTCCACTCACCAATTTTATATCCAGGGTTACGGTTACGGACTGCTGGCATTAGTTCAGTTCGGAAACATACATATGCCATTGATCACAATGGGTACATTAGGACTTATCGCAATCGATTTTTCTTTAGCCGTTCATGTTGTGTGTTGAATGTGACAGGGAGAGCTAGCATCGCACGGCAATAAGACTGCCCTAACCTCGTCAGACGCAGGCCCCTGAATATTTTGAACTGTTTGGTCCATCGAGGGGTTATATGGTAAGTGGAGAAGTCCATTACTGGCTGCCACCGCATGTTGTACGAATCTTACATCAAGAGAGGGCAATGCAGATCAACCAGCCACCCAAGATTTTAGCTTAGCACCTAACACCAGCCACCCCCCCCTTACAGCTTATGTGATGTGAATGGATTGTCATGCGTATTTACAATCCAATTTATTAACTGGTACATTCTTGTAGTCTTCGGTCCGTAAAATAATCCTAATAGTTTGAAATCAATGGTCTTGATCCTTGAACCTACATGATTATGATCGCACTAGCTTTTATTCTGATGACGCATCAAAATTGTAAGGGTCGGCAGGTGAAAATTGTCGAATCAGTGTGAGAACCTACCTTAAAACTGGCCTCATATTTGGCCTAACAATTGGCCTTAATGTTGGCCAATGATGAAGCCAGCAGCACCTGACCCGCAATTGCTACTGAGCCCCCTCTCTTCAATTTCCCCTCCCAAAACCACATCGGTTTTTCCGCTCACCCAACCACCAACCTCAGATCTTCTCACCCCTTGTCCTGCCTAGTCCAACTGCTCCTCTCAAAATTGAGCGCGTGAGCAGAGCCAGTCTTTTCGGGCCAAGAAACTTGCACTTGTCCTGAAACTCTCATTTGCTCACAACCTAGAAATCATACTTCACCAGACGTGCTCTACAAAACCATTTAGCCTCAACATCGGTAGATTATTTCAGTCTATAACCTCATCAGCCATCAAAATTTAATCAACCTCACTGGACCCCTCAACGGACTCCCATCTAACACCCCCTCCTTCGCCGTCCCAAGCTCAAGACAATCTATCTCCAAATATTCTGTTGTTATATGTCGACTTGACTCATCGACATCAAAACTCCTCCAGATCAGTATTAAGACTTGTTAAAAATTCGGCGTTAATTTAAAATAATAATAGATTGCCCATCACGGACCCTAAACAGGTGAAAGATAGCCAACTCACCACTCACCGCCACGAATATTTTTCACCTGCGATAAATAGATTTTGGACTCCAAAATGTCGCAGAATCGGCCTGCTGCCTTTTCGAGTTTGAGAATGGGGGGTAAGTAAATTCAGATGATCCCCCGCTATTCTTAAACCTTGCCGCTAACGCTTCTATGTAGAGGTTATTCGTGAAAAGGTACAGGATGGCGTCACTGGAGAGACCCGGGATATGCAGTACACTCAATGTAAGATTGTTGGAAACGGATCATTTGGTGTTGTTTTCCAAACCAAACTTTCGCCGTCTGGCGAAGATGCCGCTATAAAACGTGTTCTACAAGACAAGAGGTTCAAGGTATTACAACCTTCCGTGAATATAAACAGGAAGCTACACGTGACTGATACAATGCAGAATCGCGAGTTGCAAATCATGCGCATTGTGCGGCACCCAAATATTGTAGAGCTCAAGGCCTTTTACTATTCCAACGGAGAACGTGTATGATAACCGCCAAGTATCCGAATGTATAGAATCTCTCCTCTAACAAGTCTATCGCAGAAAGATGAGGTTTATCTCAACTTGGTTCAAGAATATGTCCCTGAGACAGTCTATCGAGCATCAAGGTATTTCAACAAGATGAAAACCACCATGCCGATCTTGGAGGTCAAACTTTACACCTATCAACTTTTCCGAGCTCTGGCCTACATTCATTCTCAGGGTATCTGCCATCGTGACATCAAGCCTCAAAATCTACTCTTAGACCCAAGCACAGGTATTTTGAAGCTTTGCGATTTTGGCAGTGCAAAAATCTTGGTGGAAAACGAGCCAAATGTTTCATACATTTGCTCCCGCTATTACCGGGCACCCGAACTAATTTTTGGTGCTACAAATTACACAACAAAAATTGGTGAGTCTCTTGAATCTATGTGTGCTCTACTAATATATAAGACGTATGGTCGACTGGATGTGTAATGGCAGAACTAATGCTTGGTCAACCATTATTTCCTGGAGAGTCCGGTATCGACCAACTTGTAGAGATCATCAAAGTCCTAGGAACTCCTACTCGTGATCAAATCCGAACCATGAACCCGAACTACATGGAGCACAAGTTTCCTCAAATAAAGCCCCACCCTTTTAATAAGGTTTTTCGCAAAGCTGATCAAAGTGCCATTGAGTTGATCTCCTGTTTGCTGGAGTATACGCCCACAGAGAGGCTTTCAGCGGTTGATGCTATGGTTCACCCATTCTTTGATGAGCTTCGAAATCCCTACACACGTTTCCCAGATTCTCGTCATCCCAACGGCCCAGTAAAGGATTTACCGACTCTCTTTGACTTTACTCGCCACGGTAGGTTTCGATCTTAAATACTATAAGCGCTCATCTAATATGTTTAGAACTCTCAATTGCACCTAATCTTAATCAAAAACTTGTTCCCCCACACATGCGAGCTAGCTTAGCATCGAGAGGTCTAGATATTGAAAGTTTTGTCCCTATGATCAAGGATGAAATGATGGCCAGGTTAGATTGAAACCGGGTCACACCGATGAAAACGAATTGATGCTTTCCTATTATTTGGCAAGTAGCTCTAAAATGAGACAGACTTCTGAGCGCCTCGTACCCGCCTATCACTCAACATACTGTGTGGTCCTGCTATAATGTGTTCCTTGCAGTGGCGATACGGCATGAATGTAGGATTACGAAAGATCAGCATGGGCATAGAAATTTAATAGTTATGTGTCGATGATCTGGAAAAAGTCACTCCGAATGAAGATTTCGTTGAAGTCGACTCCTTCCAGCAACCACGTTTACGATATCTGACATCAGTCAATTGGAAAGAGTCAATGCGCCTGCCTTCCCTACTTCAAATTTGGGTTTCAATGGACATAATCCTTCACTGAAACTTTTTTAGACTTTCTGCATAGTGGCACTAGGCTTTGCTTGTTCCTGTCAATTTGCTACTCTCTCGCTGGCATGGAGACGGTTTGGTGGCTGGACTTCCTATTTTCGTTCCGAAAATTTTGGCGTACGTTATCATTGACGACAAGCTCATGCTGACTGTGAGGCATGTATGTGTCAAAAAGCCGCTCATGAACTATTGTTATTATCCGGGTCGGTATGGCGAAAAGGCTTCCTTTCCACCTCGAAAATTCCGTGATGCAAATGGCGAAAATAGGGCTTGGTTGGCTGCTAAGAACACTAGAGAGTTACCACACACATTTCACCATCGTAAACTTGTGCAGTATGAAACATGAAGGCCTTGGTCGCACGGCAATTTGAACAAGGATATAGTAAGCAACGTTACGACAAGCCAAGCAGTTATAAATCCACTTGTTTATCCGTGATAATTCCACTCCTTCATTTGTACCACGGCCACAGAGCCCTCACTTCACTTGAGCTTGAGTTCGTAATGAATAGGATACAATCACGTGATACGTGTCTTAAATCATTTGTCGCACCGGTAACTCGCAGGGCCATAGCTTAATCACTAACTATCCTGACAATTTAGACCTCCCAAGAGGCGCCGCAATCAACATAATTCTCCATTCTCAAAAATTAAATTCTTGTTCGAAGCCTATGATTAGTGTTCGATAGCTTTAAGCTTTAAATTTCTCAAACGCATACAAATTGCCTTAATGTCACTAAAGACTGATGTTTTATGGGAAGTTTAGTCATCGAGCACATGTATTTTTATCCGCACCCAATAGAATCATTTCAACCATGTCACTCACCTCCCAAGGCTCCGGATGAAAGCAAAATAAAGCGAAACCCTACGTTATCATCAAAGACTGTTATCGACTTATTGTTAACTATTCCACTAGTCATTAGAAATAATGCAGCATAAAATAGCTCTAGAACATCATGTTGGGTTTACGATTTTTATCATTATGCCGCTGTTTGGTCATAAAAGTGGTGTCCCCTACGAGTATCTAGCACTTACAGCAGAGTCTGCAGAGCCTAGATTGAGTAACAGAGTCCTCACTTCGATGAGGATTCACAATCGCTTTCACGATCAGAGTAAATGTTAGGGTCGAAGCCCTTCTCGTCATCAAACATTTATGATGGAGGGAAACCCATCTGATGAGTTTCCGGAGCGTACCCAGCATCGGATACAGCGATGGCGCACTTGATCAAGATGGCTTCGAATGTTAAAGAGAAGTGAGATATAGATTAATATGCGCACCTCAGGTGATCCCGGTGTCTAAGCCTCGCCTGGCTAGGGCTGCAGGTTTTTGGTGAGTTTTTTTCTGCGCACGCAGTCTCCATTGCTACCATTTATTCCTTCTGGGTAGAAGGTTCCGTGGAAAAAGTGGTTGAATTCCATGGGTAAACAATGAGATGAATGGCATTTCAATATGGGCAACATATTTAAGATCTTTTAAGTAACAGAAGAGAATAAGTGCAGTGTACAAGGTGTGGCCTGGGTCAGAGAAAAGCCCAATGTATTAGATAGTCATAGACTTAAGTTGCACGATAAAATCACCTCTCTCTCTCTCTACCTTGGTATGATATGCATAGGCGTCATGCAGCACACATTTTTATTCCGTTTAAGATATTTCACGTCAATTGACCACGTGTCGGAGTCTGTAGGCGCTAACCATACATAATTGTAATTAACCCTTGAGTTCACTTCCTGCCCGTCCAGCTCGATACCAAGACTTGGACCTGCAAATGCGACGACGTGAACCCCCAGAACTATCGTTGCCACGGGGATTACTACACGAACTCATTGCTGCGAGAACAGGGCATGGGGATTTGGCGGCGTATCACCGTCGCTTCAAGCACGAAGATGCAAATCTAGTTTGTAGCTGTGGGCTAGAAAAGACGCCCACCCACTTCACACGCTGTCGGAGATACAATATTCTGACGCGTAAACTTAGAAAAGACTTGAGCTTAGATGCTTTTACCAGGCAACTCCTCGGACATAAAGGGTTAGAGAAGTTTAAAAATTTTGCATGGGTTACAGGCTGCTTCGGTAGGCTGGACGCATCCTAGTTCTGGGCTGGATGCAAGGACGGGTTTTAGGATGAATGCCAGGGCAAATAGGCTGGCGGAGGAGAGTTCAGGATGAGGATTGCTGACTCAAAACCATTGATTATTTCTTTTCATTTTCTTCACTACATTATTTATTTAACGAGCTCACGATTTAATAGCTATAAAATGGGTCTGAACGAGTAGGGCAAGCCTAGAGGTTAAATCTCGGCCGGCTCCACCGGTCCTACATCTAAATAGATTGAAGGCTACGGCCTAGGACTTAAAACTAAAATAAATAAATAAATTTACTTCCTGCCGGACAAGCAGCGTCAACTTGCAGCTTAAATTAAATTTTCTAGAATTTAAATATATAACCGAGTATCTGATTCTCCTCGAATACTTAATAGATTTGAAAATATGTCTCAAAGCATCCTGACGGTGATGACGTGCCGCGGGTAGGTCGCTGAAGCTTATTTTCCAATCAATTTTTTAATTCTGGAGCAGATTCTGTAGAAGGGACATTATAGGGATTGTTTCGGTAAAAAGTCTCGAATCGGCTACTAAATTGGCAGTTGTAGTGGTATTTGGAACGCAAAAACACTCGAGTGCATGTTAGAGGATTTATAGGCAGTTCTTCGCAGTCTATGCAGCGGTAGATTAAATTGGAATATGAGCTCGAGGTATCTAACTTGCCCTAGCTGCAACAATTGTTCGAGTAATCATGGTTATGGATAAACGTAGATTGATGCACTATTAGTGGCCAAGATTTAATTTGTACCAATGGGTGGTTATTACCAAAATCACGTGACCAGGTTTTATTATTCTAGAAGTATATTGTTCCCGGCTCCAGCACATACTAGGGACATATTGTTAACCCTTCCATTACCACACATGGCAGAGTACGATCAAAGACCGCGAGGAGGTCGAGGAGGTCTTCATGTCAATCGCAAAAGAAGATACAGAGGTAAGTCCTCTTCTTCTGACACTTTTGTATAATTCCCTCGGCGAGGCTGACACATGTGGAACAATCATGTAGATGAAGAAGACTATGATCGTCGGCCGCAACGTCGCCGCCACGAAGAACCCATATCAGCACGTATACGCAAACAGCTCCTATCTCTCGCAGAGTCGCCTGTAAAGCGTGTCGAAGACGAAATTGTTTCAGTCGCAAAAACGGTTTGCGAAAACCTGGAAGATGGAGAGCTTAAAGCTGGATTTCTTGGCTTAGTGGTACAACTAATTGTTGAGCAGCCATTCAAGATTCCATTCGTCGCCGCTGTCATCTTAGTTGTCGATACGATAAAAAGCGAACTAGTTGAAGAGGTGTTAGAAAGATCGGTATCAAGACTTAATGGGTGTATCCAAAATGGTGAATGGCGGGAAGCTAAGCTCCTAATGAAATTTCTAGGCTGTCTCCAAGGTGTCCTGGAAGGTGAAGGTGTTTGGATCGCCCTGCAAGACTTTCTTACTAAGGCTGTAGACCTACAGACTGAAAATAACGAGGAGGTGAGATTTAGGTCACCAAAGCTACTGTGATATTAATACTTCTCGCAGACACTTGGTCCCGAACTAGTGAAGATCATACTTTTCACAATTCCATATATTATGTCCTCATCAGCAACGGATAATCTAGACAGGGCAGCAAAAATGATCGAGAATACGGATATCATTGCCTCTGAACCACATGTATTGCAAGCATTAGTCGACCCATATCCAGATGAGGGAAAAGCTAAGACATATTCCTCGATGGGTGTTCTCGGATTACTCCAGAAGCAGCTATTAGATGAGGTCGCAAATGGTTGGGAGCTAGCATGCTTGCCTAGACCATGGAAAGTATTACAGGAGGTAGAAACATCTACAGTAGAGAAACATCCTCTTCCAGCAATTCTTATTCCTGAAATAATGACACCAGGTCCTCGGCCACTCTTTCCAGAACTATACTTCTCCGTTTATGCAAATCAAGACGTTGAGACAGTTCCACCTACTTCAGATATTGCCTCTTGCTTACTCCGAGACGCAATTATTGATACTATCAACATACTTGACTATAATCGTAACACTACCGCTCAATTTTTAATTGGAATAGATTGTTATTTCTCTCCTAGTACTTTTGTAAAGAGAGCGACCCCATTCGATCGATTGCGCGATGTTGAAGGAGATAAATCAACGTGGAAGCCAGAGGATGTCGCAGTCGATGCTGTATTTTCTCAACTCTTTCAGCTACCATCTCCCGAACATAAGCTGGTTTATTATCATTCAGTGCTCACTGAGTCATGCAAAATTGCTCCGGCTGCAATTGCTCCAAGCTTAGGAAGAGCTATAAGATTCTTATACCGTAACATAGAACGTATGGATCTCGAATTAGGCTACAGGTTTATGGACTGGTTTGCACATCACTTAAGTAACTTTGGCTTTACATGGAAATGGACCGAGTGGATTGAAGATATTGAGCTCCCTGATATGAATCCCAAGAAAGCTTTCATTGTTGGCGCTTTGGATAAAGAAATACGGCTAAGTTTTGCACAAAGAATAAAGGGAACTTTGCCAGCACCATATCAACAGCTTATTTCGGAAGAAAAGGAGAAAGATACCCCGGATTTCAAGTTTAACGTAGATGGCGAGTAATTTCACGATCAACGCATCACAAATCTGCTAACCGCTAAACCAGATTTTCCATTCGCACGCGAGGGCCAAGAAATTTTGTCTCTTCTGCGGAAGAAATCGCCTGAAGAATCTATCCAACCTATAATCGAACAGATTCACGCTCAAGCAACAGTTATGAACTATCCAGACCCACTCGTCGCGTCAACTGACGCCTACATGACTGCTATATGTTTCATTGGCTCAAAATCTCTATCCCACGTCCTTTCCTGTATCGAGCGCTGCAAGGAAAGACTGATGGCCCTTGGTCCTGTTTCCCCCCTGGCACGAAAGCAAATCATTGATAGTGTCCTGGATTATTGGAAGCATCAACCCGGAATCGGTGTTAATATTGTAGATAAACTTCTGAATTACACTATTCTCAGCCCGAAAAGTGTCGTTGACTGGGCTTTATCACAAGATGGGAAACGGCTGGGAAAGGCGTATATATTTGAGATGGTGAGTGCTACCATCTTCAAAGTGACAGGAAGGTTACGCCAGGTAATCCAAGCTAAGAGCGTGCCTGGTCTCTCACCGGAACAATTCGAAATTCTCTTAAAAACAGTGGATAGCGAGCGAGCAAGCATGAAAGAACTATTTGACTTTATGGAAAATTCCCTGCTGGGCTGGGCCAAAGATATAGGTGGTAACGAAGAGGATACAATGACTCAACAATGGGCGATGCGATGGCTACGTGTCTTCAGAAGAAAGTTAGCCGTCGAAGAAGCATGGCGCCTTGAGTCTGAGCAGGACCGGACACAGCTACCTACACAATCTAACGCTAATTAGGTGAATGCCAGATGTCTGAGTGGTGGTCAAAATCAGAGCGGTGAGCACACCCGATTAAAAGGGCCAACAGGAGCAAACAGTACGCTTGTATGATAGCTCTACGACATAAAAATTGCTTTTGTCAGAGCGTCCCGTTGCTTCTATGCTGCAGTGAAAACATTTATTGTACTTTTAGAAAGTGATAGTATAGTAGTAGTAGTAATAGAAGTAGACCAATCACTTCGAAGGTTCACTACATTAGTAGCTTTAGTCTCTAATTTGCTCAGCTGCCTTGCACATAGCATAACCACTATTCCCTAGTCAGTTTTTATCTAAGAGCCTAACTATAGCCCAAGTTTTTAAGGACCTACTACAAAAACTGCATGAGATTTAAATTGGCGGTAAATATGTAATGCTAGCTTAGCTCAACCATACGTACTCCCCAACGCCTCAACCCTATGTAGTCTAGAGCCTATGACAGAAGTGTTCAACGTTTCTCTTCTTATTTATATTTACTTTTGATGGTTCAACTTCTACAGGTCATACTACCTTCGACCATATCCCGGAGGAGCCTGTTGCTGTGGAGGAAAACCAGGTGGTATGAAGCCTGGAACGGCTTGGCCCATTGGATGAGTACCAAATCCAGGCGGCATGGAGGGTGGAAATCCCTGAGGCGGCGCAAAGCCAGTTGGATGGAAATTTTGTGGGCCGCCATAGCCCGTCTGAGGTGGCGGTGGCCTTTGAGGGAGGCCGGTAGGTGGAGGGGGTAATGGAATATTAGGGCGCGGTTGTGGAGGAGGGTCAGTGTTGTAACCAACATTTGGCCTGGCAGCGAAGCCAAGCGGTAGAGCTTGTGGCGGACCGGCACCTACAGATATTTGAGGTCCCATACCCATGACATTATCCAACATTGCCGCTGGTGCAGGTGGAACCCCGTTCATCAGGAGTTGGGCGGGCATTTGCAGAACTTCAGGGACAACATTATTCTTCTGCCCTTGACTAGCTAAGATTCGCTCTGCTTCATCACCATGGCGTTCACCTTTGCCATCCTTCTTATAAGCATACTGAACTGAAACATCCTTGTTCATGAGGTACTGGCCATTCATGTTGGCAATGGCATCATCTGACGCCTCGAAATTGGTGTAAGATACGAAACCATAGCCCTTGGAGAGGCCGTTCTCATCCCGCGCAATCTTTGGCTGTGACTGGAGTGTACCAAAGCGAGAAAAGGTATCGTAAAGTGTCTTCTCATCGACCATGGCATCGAGATTTCCAATGAATAGCTCGGCCCCGACTTCTACGGGTTTTTGTTTATCTGCTGATGCCTGGGAATACAATAAGTTCTCTGTGACCAAGCGCTAGGATAATAGAATAAGCTACCTTATTCACACGAATTGGCTTGCCGTACAAGCGCACTTGGTTCATAATGCGTGCTGCATATTCAGCATCCTCTTCACTAATGAATTCGACAAAGCCATATCCTTGATGTGTCTGCGTGACGCGATCTTTTGGGAGATGTACGTTCACAATCCGGCCAGCTTGGAGCATAAGTTCCCATATCAGGCTATCCGTGACACGCTCGTCGATATTGCCGATGTAGACAGTAGCCTCTTTGTCTTGCTCCCTACGCTTCATTATTACTTTGTGACCTGGTGGTTATGTGAATCAACTAACCAATGACGCGCTCCAGACATATTAGCAGCTTTTCATCGAGAAGACACAATTACCAAGGATGTTCAGGGAAAGTGCGATGTGAGAAAATGGATAATATGGATTAGACGCGCTAGTTAACTGCTATTGTTCCATGACACAGCCCCGGCACATTTTTAAATTTCGTCACTCTAAGCTCGGAACAGTTACATTATAGAACTCTTCACTATCAATACTGCAGACACATTCCAACTGCTTGGTCGCATAAAGTAAGCGTAACCTACCTCCAAATTACCTCACTGACGGCCAAATTGTCCGACGAAATGCAGTTTTCCGAAGAAACTAAAGTGAGTAGCAGCTACAAACCGATTAAATTGTCTCTTGTCTAATCCATTCATTTAATGTAGGAGCGTATTGGCAAAATTATCGATCTATCTCGAGTAGCGATACATTAGTTAGAGCCCATGGATTCCTAGTTAATCTATTCTCACTAATCCCAACAGCGGTTACCTGCCCTTGATCGTTTATTTGGGTTCGCACCTTTCTACAGCATAATAATGTGGCAGTCGCTAAAATATTTAGGATACACGTATAGCGAACCCCAGCCGTCTCTCATTAGGTATTGGCATCCTTAAGCAATATAGAAATAAAATTCTGACACTGGTCAGACTATTTTCACCTCTAGCTTAAGAGCAGCTCGACGCGTACAAATTAGATACTCCAGAGCTATAACTAGAACTTTACTCAAATCAAGAACTAGATATGTTTACCAGGGGATCATATTGATAACTAAAGTAGGACACATCACCCTAGATGAGAAGAATGAATGGATATGAAATTGTAGGATGCACACTTATAATGTTTACGGCCTTCTCCTTTTGGAAAAAAGTAATTGATTTTTAATTACTCCATTAAATTTAACTGTTCGAATAAAACATCAATAAGTCATAATCCGATCAATGGATACGCAACATGTGCCGGAACGACTTGTATATGGCTGCCCCTGTTTAAAAAATCTTCCAAATCGGTTATTCAATTTTTGTAGCCTTGTGAAAAGCATCTTGGTGAAAATAATATATTAGATGAAAACGAGGAAATAAGAAATTATCCATCTGCCTTTCTTGTTGAGCCAAGTAGTATCAAGACTAGCCTCATTAAAGCCTTTCCGCTAGATAAACAGTGAGATTGAAACCATACTAACATTTCATGCTCAAAGTCATCATTTCAGCCATGATCCCCGTTACGATATAATTTGCGTCACTGCAGATACATATTTACGATCGACAAAATGTAGAATACATATGACTACTAATTGCGACAACACTCACTATATGATCCACTTTCTAGGTTATCGTAACTAGGCCTACTTAGAGATTTTTACCTTAAGAAGGTATTGTCCTGGAGCGTTGGAAACTCCCCTAAATGGAAAGAGATCCGAAAGTTGCTCGAAGTTATATTTAGTAACAGCGAGCCAGAGGTCAGACCCTTAAACACTTCATTCTTTGTAATGAGGAATAATGTAGTCCTCACCGGTGACCTTTAATGTAGCCAAAACCTGATATAGTTTCTCGGTGACCTAGACCACAATATTTAACTTAACATAATCAGCTCAACTCAAGACTTTTTTAAATTTTCACATTATCAGGCCTTGAATACTTGTGGATGGTGACTCAGGCACAATTTTCCACTAACACGCACGATTCCCAAACCCCATATGTGTTATGCTTACACTCAAGAACTATTTTTGTGATACTTTGCCTTCCCAAACGTGAATGGTACGTATCGATACTTAATCATGTGCTGAATCTGCCGGCGCACTACGAATTGTTAGTGATTTGAATGGAAATGTGAGTGCGACGTGCGACGAACTTGTTAAGGTAAATAGAATCAGCCAGTATATAACCAAGACAGGCCAGAAGACTGGCACATCAAAGACAGAAAACCACGTGCAGAAGAACCCAATTAGTGTCGCTCTCGTTGCTAAATACCAGAACTTAAACTCAGGCAAACGGCGAATGAAAGGGCGGAATTCTTCGTCTTGTTTGGTAGGTAGGCTTCCAGCAGTACCACCCTCCATTTCGTCGTCTTCTACTTCATTTGATGGGTCGAATTTGGGCTGAAGAAAGGCAAGGAAAAGATTAAGAAAGTATATTCCCAATGAATACGCGACTAAATTTGGCGTCAGTGTTGGAAACTGCGCAAAGAAGTAGTAACACACCGATATACCATCCCTGTGCAAGAAAAATCCGAACAAAGAACATCATTAACAGAGCTATCGTTCCAAGCCATCGATGAGGCACATAGGGTGTCGAAATATCTAGTAAAGTTTGGTATTGCTACCGTGATAAATTAGTCGCCTGGTCAGGATTACAACCCGACGGAATAGAGGGAGGCCGAGCTGCGGCAGATGGATCAGCCTGGACTCACACATTGAAGTCGCGAGGTCTGGGCCGTCACAGCGGCAAAAGGGGTTTGCTGTGGCTCTTGAGATTCCATTATAGACATTGCCTTGCGCGAGCGTCCGCAATTCTGGACGGCGATTGTCTAGTTTTCTCGTGGCGACAATTGGTGAGGTCTTGGGTTGCGTGGTGTGTTCCGACTGATCGGCTCATAGTTTTAAATGGCCTGGTTTTGTTGAACTCCTGACTATGACTACTGCCCATGCCTCATTGCCGGGCACGTGAGGAGCGTGTCATTTGTGACAAGGATTGGTTTTACACTTTCGGCTTACGCGTTGTCCACACCACTCAAACTACAGAATTTGGTATCCTTGGCCTGGCCATTTACCGGTATACGGCTACACCATTGTTCATCTTAAGTAAAATTTTGATGCTGAATCAAATAACCCTTACTATCGACAAACTGCGATAATTCCGTTCTCAGCCACGGTGCAAATAGAACCCGCTTCGGCCTTGAAACTTCATATTGTAGCCACAGAGTCCCCACACTATTGCCGCCAAAGTCGAATTAACTAACCATATCCTAAAATATCACATCTTTCACTATATCTCCATCGGATGAAACAACAAGACCCCATTAACATTGCTCGAACCTGACAAACAAACATTCATCGACTGCTATGGCCTAGAAATCCTAAAACCATACGTCATAAACTTTTGAATCTAACCTTTAGGTATTACATACATCACTTACGTTTTTTTCTGGTGGGTTTCCATTCTAATATCTACCATTTTCGTACACCAAATTTACTGGCGAAAAGCTGCGAGATATCCCCAACCCTAACTATGCTTGATACTTGCCACGAAAATACAAGCATTCTGACTTTTGGGAGCAACAATTCTTCTGGAATGAGGTATAATAAATTCTGCCCGTGGCAAAAGTTGTATTAATGCGATATGAAGTTTAGAAGTAGAATGAGTACTTATTAATGGATAGAAATTTCCGAGCCAGAGAAATGAGGAATTTCTCCTAGCACGCCAATGGAAGCATATCCTCAAATGTACCAGATGTTTCTGATGCGAGAAACAAAAGGTCGCTCACCGTCGTGTGACCTCTAATAACTACTGTTACGAGAGACCCCACCCTGATATCAGCAAGGACCGTGCCGTGCACGTGTACTCACTGCACATAGTATAAGATTCATGACGCGACATCTACACTGCACCAAACCTACCATTCTTCAACAACATATTCTGCAAACATTTAGCATGATTCAGATAAATATTCGTTCTTGGGCGCTCACTGCCCTCGTGCGCACCTCCACTAGAAGGCCATCCAATCTCCGTACCTTATGCTCGGTCCAGCCAGGGAGGACGTATGAATTCATTAAAGCTGCCGAACCACGGCCGGGAGTGGGGCAGAGTAAATGGCCCCACCAACCATCCCCATGTCTCTTCTGCCTCTAACTGATACTCAAGTCACCCTGGATCGGCCACAGGCTCTCAATGCCTTGACCTCACCCCTGATGCGTGAACTCAACGAGGCCCTCGTTGTTTTTGAGCGGAGCCCGCAGATCGCCGTAATTGTTCTGAACGGCTCATCACGCTCATTTGCTGCCGGTGCCGATATCAAGGAAATGGCTTCACTAACCTTTGCCGAAGCTTACACGTCATCATTTATTGAATCCTGGTCTACTTTCACCACCGCCGTCAAGAAACCTATTATCGCTGCCGTTTCGGGCCATGCCCTTGGCGGTGGCTGTGAGCTTGCGCTAATGTGTGACATTATCTACTGTACCCAAGATGCCAACTTTGGCCAACCAGAAATTAAGCTGGGAATCATTCCAGGTGCTGGTGGAAGTCAGAGATTGACTAGGGCAGTTGGTAAGAGCAAAGCAATGGAATTAATTCTTACAGGCAAGAGCTTTAGTGGCAAACTCGCTGTAGAATGGGGTGTTGCTGCGAGAAGCTTTGAGACATGGGAAGAACTCATGGCCGAAACTCTTGAAACCGCAGAGACTATTGCAAAGCACAGCAAAATTGCAGTCATGGCTGCCAAAGAAGTAGTAAACAAGAGTCAAGACCTGCCTTTGAGAGAAGGTGTAGAATATGAGAGAAGGGTTTTCCATAGTCTATTTGGAAGCGAAGATCAAAAGACTGGGATGAGGGCTTTTGTGGAGAAGAAAAAGCCTAACTGGAGTCACAGGTAGATATCAAATGATCCTAAAAGCGTCTAATTATCTCTGTTCCTATTGCCATAGGCCTTCAGTCCCTGTAATATCTGCAAATGATGCGGTTCTATAAAATTCACAAAAGCCTTATGATACCGCCACAAACATTTTCCTGCAGCTAATTAATTCATTCGCCTTTTTCTTATCTTACTCATAAGAACTCTTTGGTAATAGAGTATAGTATTAATTCCTTGGCCAATCTTTATTCTAAAGGATACGGCGGGTCAGTGATGGTAGGCATTTTATCTTCAAAATCAGATGTAGCTTGTGACTCAAAAGCAAAATTGACTAGAGATGAGGCATCACCGTAATTAAATAAACCAGGTGTGGCACGAGCAGGGAGAAAAGAAGATAATCCGGAAAAGGCTGTTGGCTTATCAAGACAACCAAACCAGCCAGGTGTTTCACAAGTAGAAGTTGTCGTTGTCACTCTGCTAGTGAGTGTTTCTGCAGGATTAGTCGTTGTAGTATCAAGACAGCCCCACCATCCAGGAGTTTGGCAAGTAGAAGTCCGGGTCCTAGTCTTTGTTGATGTTACTGACGATTTACTGAGAGTGGTGCTAATATCCCCTGTGACCTGTTTCCAAAGGGCGCAATCGTAGCAATCTGGTACAAAACCACATTTAGGAATACGATCCCATTTTTTGATAATATTCTCGATTACATAGATAATCCTGTGGGTCATTACTGATATACCTGTTCCATTTTTAGCGACTGTATCCCATACACATTCTTGCCCAGTATGACAAGCACTCTCCAAAGCATATCCAGCGTATGAGCAGGTAGCTGAAAACCCGTTACAAGTCCCCATATAGATTGGATCAGCTGTATGGCCAAAATGAAATATACCTGTATGATTTCTTTGAGATGGTCTATCAGGATCTGCACCGATTGGGGTAGGTAGCCCAAGCCTATTAGCAGGCAAGGCATCAGGGACAGCTTCAAAAGTCAGGACTGGAGCACCATAAGTTAGTCCAATCATAGCACTAATTGCTCCTCCTAGAGAATGACCTGTTAACCAGATTGAGGCGTTTGGATATAGAGCAGTAACATTTTTGTATAAATTGCGCCCTGCAGCATAATAGCGGTTCTCTTGTAATAAGCTCTTTCTTAAGCATGTCAAGTTACATGTATAAGTTCCTGTTGCACAATTGCACACTTCTCGATAGAAAAAGTTGCTCTGTTGGCCACAGCAGCAACTGAAGTATAAGTTGTCATTTTCTTTGTCATTTCTTGTAGTCCCTGCTCCGTCCCAAACAGCCATTGAGGTACCCTTTAGTCCGATAACGATTGTCGAATTTGTTTCATCTGCATATAGATATCCTCGCAATCCATCACTATCCCACCCAAATCCAATTGATTGATCCTGATCAGGGTTTTCATAGATTTCCTCTCCATCATCATTTTCATGGTGATGGTATGCATTTGCTGCCATGTGAGCGAATGACAAAACGGTATCTTTATCAGAGACGTCTGGAGCAGATATTTCATCTAGAGACCAGGCGTCAAAATTAGACGTCCAAACTTGAGAATACTGGCGTGCAGCAGCAACCATGGGATCGACAACAGAAGGATGACGATTCTTCAAGCGATTGATTTTGACGGGACTTGTTTTGACAACCAGTTGACGTCCTTCGGCCTTAAGTTTGCCTCCCTCTGTTTCTATCCAGAGTGTTCTCTCGGGATTCCGAACGTCAGACCTTAAAAAAGATGCCGGCCTACTAAGATCACCATGATGGAAGACATGGCGAAGCGTCTGTGGCAAGAAATCAGCTTTATCTTCCTAATTCCAATAGTTTGGATTTACAAAGAGATGGTCGCTCCTGTTAGGATTTTGAGTTTGGAGGTTAGGAGAGACTGGCTGTTGCAGAGGGTGCTGTTGAACCTGGCTATTAAGCGTATCGATTGGTTTAGATATAGCCAGTAACGATAATAGCAGTCTTACTGTTACCCTGCTGACGGATGTGCACTGTTTACCGGTATTTCTCTTCAAAATCATGACAACTAAGTCGAGAAGATGATGCCTCTATAAAACGCAGCCAAGATTAAGTATTCTGATCATAGGTGTAGAGAGGGGTGAATTGATTATCTAGAGTTGCTTAGATGGGGGTTGGCACTCCCTTGCGTCAGAGGGTCCCACAGCAGGATGCAAGCTCACTAGCATATCCATCCATGAAATCAGGTGATTTTTCAAAAGACTCAAGCTTTAAGCAAAGGTTTGACAAGGATCCAGTTTGTTTCGCACTGTGCCTATCGAGCCGGATCAAGTCGTGGCCTTTAGAGCTCCTGGTCAGCCACTCCTTCAGAAACACGAGTGCAACAGTCTAGACTGAGCAAAATACATCTGTAGTTTTGCTGCTAGTTAAAAGTAATTGTGATGATCAAACAAGCATCTTGACGAAGTGAGACTCCTATCCAGAATTATCCTCGTTAAATAATAATCAAGAATGCACCAGCCTCTTCAAAAAGATCTGAAAAATCACACAGGAACGAGGAGTTCTCCCAATCAGTGACCTACATTGCGCAAATTATGCTACGTGGCATTGATTTAGTTGTTAGGTATTAATTGACTGGGGATTGGATGGTGCAGTGGTACACCATTCGGGCCGTTCTCACATGTGAGTTGGAGGTAGCTTTCACACAAGACCCACGTAAAACAGGAGAAGGCTGCTTCGAATCCACTGGAATCCACGCACCATTTTCACTCGCGACGATATTGAATTTGTGGAATGATGAAAGTATGCTCGATTGACCGAGGGGTTTTCACGCTTTTCATTATGGTGGGTAATGTTAATTCATCTTATTGTCCTTTCAGAATCTGTAACTATATAGAACATGCAGGTACCCTCTTCTGCCATCATGCCAAGGATACCTATACCAGTAGTATATTCCCTCCTATGCCTCCCATACAGCCCCCCTCAAACAATACCATCCCTCACGAGTCCTCATTCGATCATACACTTAGAGGAGCCCTTAGCTCTTCATTATCTCCCCTCTCCAGCCAACTAAACAATGGCCATTTGCGGGTGAATGGCAGCTGGGAAAAATCGCAAAAACCACTGGGTGCGGAGCTCTCCTAATACCGACATTAGGACTAGATCCGAAGACATAGTGACCCTTCCGAAGCGTTCAAAGAGGCCGGCCAGCTGGGCGATGCAGACTTGTGGGTACCTCGGGAAATTCACACTCTGCCTTTCTAGCCTCCTTCCAACTCCTTCCCGAAGGTCGTGCTGAAATGTCAGAAAAGTCTTGACAGAGCGTGATTGCTGTATAGTAGCTTAGCCTAACTTCTTTTGTGCCGTCCAGGGCGCTGGGGAGTGCCCTTGACTCATCGACAAAAGAAGCCCTCCTGGCTAGTTAACCGAAATCTTGGTCTTGGCTCCCACAAAAGTTCCAAAGTTGAAAACTCCTCGAAAATGTCAGTCCCAGCGTGGTCTTCAGAGACCTGTTCCCCTCTCGTTCCATTCCAGCCGCCTGTCCTTCCTCAAGGTGTACAACCCCATTAGAGCATCAGTCCCCCATAAACCAAGACCCCAACTTTGTATTTTTCGACTTGATTTCCTCCTTGCAGGTATAAATAGCGTCGTAAATTTGTAGTGAGTGATGGCCGGCGATGAATGAGGCAAGCTCCTGTTTGAAAGTGGGGTGACGCCTTTATCGGTCGGCGAGGCGAGATGATATCTGTTTAGATCGTGGTTGACGACTCAGAAGACAATGGTGAGTGCTGCATGGTTGAGAATTCGTCAAATGGAGATATGCATGTGTTTGCTTTCGACTTCGATTCGGATGCGATTCTTCTTGGCTATCCCAGATATGCAGAGCATACTGAGCGATTACACCGGCACCACTGGAAGGTGAAGAATCCATCTTTGCCGGCTTCATTCTCTATTTTACAGCTATAGACGAAGAGGTCTAAACATTCAAGGGGCGCTAATCCTATTTAAGTTTAACCCTACAACAACTTCATCCCCGTAACATTTCCTAGCAATATTGATATTCAGGATTGCGATGGATAGCAGAGATTGATAGTGTTTATGGCAGTGCGGGGGTTAGTAATTAGTGACAGGGATATGACACGTGTATATATATATATATCGCGCACTTGACTCCTCATTGATATGAGGATATTTTCGACTACATTCACAATGCCCATACCTACTCTGGACTAATCACCCCTTTCTAAATTGGTCTTATCTTCTAAATAATGCCCTTTTCGCCCTTTTATCTTAAATGACAGGTCATGATATTTTTCGTCTTGCTGGCCACCATCAAGCCCAGAGTCAAGGACAGATTAAATCTTTAACAGTAGAAACTGCGTGCATGGGAAAAAAACCCATAAAAAACCTCCAGTCCCAGCCAGGCGAGGTCTAGACACCGGAACCATAAAAGGTGCGCATATTTATTTATACCCCCCTTCTTCGTAACATTAGAGGCCGACTTTAATCAATCTGCCATCTCCGTGTCGGGTGCTGGGTACAATCCGGAAACTCATCGGATGGCTTTTCATCCATTATCAAGGGTTGAGTACGACAAGGGCTTCGACCCTGACATTTACTCTAATATTAGCAAGCTTCATGATTGTGGTGATAGTATTATGATATGAAATCACTCAGCCAATTAGATAGATTGTATTAGATATGGAGATCTATACAAGATGTGGGTGGTGTAGTGACATCATAACAGTTGCATGTGGATGATAAGAACAATAATGTAAACTATTCTACAGCATATTGGGTTGGATGGTACAGTGGTACACCATCCGGGCCGTCCTCCCAAGTGGACACTGGGTAGCTTGAACACCTACCCCATTCGAGATAGGAGGAAGCTGGTTCGAGTCCAGTATGACCCTTACACTACTCTCTCTCGCGGTGATATAGTACTTGTGGAGTGATGAAAGCACACTCGGACAGCCATGGGGATTTCACGCTTTTCCCTGTGGTGGGTATGCACGGAAGAGGTTGTACGCCACAAGGGTTTAC